AAATAAGCGCTACTTATCAGGCATTACAGGAAAGACGAAATTAAAAAGACATAGAAGCTTTTCTGAAGACGGTCGGTTCTTTTCACAGATACATTCATATAAAACCACCCGCGCTGCACTTGAATTTTGAAACGTGCAGTGCTCAGTTTATTCAAGGAAGTATAAGCCTTTTGGAAAATCTATTTGTGGCGGTCCATCTGTTGCGGTCCAAATAACTCAATGTATGGGAAACACTGGACACTTCTATAAGTCAAATGGCCAAGTGATAACAAAAATAAAAGCGTTCACACATACTACACAGCCTGCTGCTCATAACTGCTTAAGAGTGTGCTGGCCACGAGCGATGACATCGTGGAGGCTATTGTCGGACCCACACACACATTTCATGAGGAAAGCTATCGTGCACGTTATAATCAGCCCAGAAGTTTCGTCTGAATTGCATACGTTTCTACTTTCACATGCAAATGACTTGCACTTATGCATATGATAACGTTCCGGCATCAATTCTAGTAGGGTAAAACGTAATTACGCTTTTGAAACGGTCTGTTCTGCCCTGCCATCATTAGCTGAAGCTGTGTGTGAACAAGAAGCAGCTGCAGAGTGCGAGTTGCTCCGTCTCTCACGCAGCCAGAGAGAGATTCTCCAGCATTCCGCAACAACGCTTAGCTGCCGATTAATTAAAAAAATGCCAAAAATCGGCCGATCAATCGGTCAACCTCTAATCTAGAGCTTATGAACATGGCTTCTCCACTGGGAAATTTGTTTCCCATTGAAGGGACCATCCCACTAAAGAATAACTTGTTCTATATTGGCAAAGAACAGTTCCAAAGAACGTTATTTAAATATTAATGTAAGGTAACTCTTCTTGAATGCTTCTTAATGATTATTTCACATGTCTCATAGCAAAACTTTCGAATACATTTCATTTTCAGTTTTACACATTTTAAAACATAAAACAAGCGTGTCTTTCCGTTTTGTGGAAAATGACTTATCCAGATGTGCAGCAGACTGGCTGTCTCTCTCTCTCTCTCTCTATAAAAGGAGACACACAAGGCCATGTGTGTGTGAATGAGAGAGAGTTCCACGCTCATTCAGTACGTCCAGGCTGAGGCTCTGCATGCTTAAAGTTAAAAGACTGCTGTTGTCTGGAGGATTATCATGTTTCACAGGCACAAAAACAGACGATTCAGCCTATAAAATTCTAATCAGATTTAAAAGTATTTCCTACAGAGGATTTTTTTTCTTCTACCTTTCCTTAAAACACCTTCACAGCTAAAAAAATCCTATTAAAACTGTTGTAAACCCAAACTTACGTCAACAGTGGACAAGAAAGTTTGCATTGAGGGCTGTTTAATGACTTACTAAGGTGTTACCAATCAAACATAACCCTATATACTTCAGTAAAAATCACAACTTTCTAAAATAAAGACACACAATGGTTCAGAAAACAGGCCTGGTGCTATTAACACAACCTCACCTAAATCAAGTCGCTATTTCGATAATTTTAATCTTTGTATTTATGACAGATTTGAGATGTAAAACTCTCCAAGCCTAACAAGGCACATTTAGAGTGATATAAAAGTCCACTATCTCTGTTCGTAAGATAATGCTTGTGAAGAGAGTGAAGAGAAAGAGTTGCCTGACCAGCTTGCCCATGGGAGACAGTCTGGTTTTGGTAATCAGAGATGAGAAAATGTCTGAGCGTTCACTGAAAACATGACCACATAAAAAAAAAATTAAGCACAATAGTGGTCTCCCGTGTGCTTAAAATGCTTTGAAATGCTAGCTTGCAAACAAACAGACACATCCTTCCATCTCTGCACTGTAACAAGCAATATCCAAAATCCAGACTATACCACAGAAAACTGATAATTAACGAGAGGGAAACACCAGACTTATTCTCTTTATCTGCCTTTATGAGTCTCTCAAGCTCTAAAACATAGCTGATTTCCTAAGACCCATTGTTCTAAGCTCCTGTGCATTATAGCAGGAAACTATTAAGGAGTCCGTTTAGTCTCTGTTTTTGGGTGCGTGTGCGACAAACAAGCAACTGCTTACAGTAAATATCTGACTGGAGGTCAAATAGATAAATTAAAAATGCTGTTTGCAGTATGTACTTGTTATTTGTATAAGCAGCGAGTACCGGTATATTATTATCTGAGTGAACGCCTTAAACATCAGTGCAAAGCAAACTCATTTCCAGCTACGCAGTTTGTTTTCAATTAAAGTTCTTAATCTGGACTCTTTCCTTTGCTAGATGCATTGCATCGTGTTATACAATGTTATGCATATCCTCAGCAAAAATTATTATTCAGAAGCACAAGGCATACTGACTCTCTTTGTGTGGTAACAAAGACGCTTGTATAAATTATATACCAAATCATGGGGTCTGTAAGATTTTCAAATGTTTTCAAAAAAAGAGAGAATTTCCTATGCTCACCAAGGCTGAATTTATTTGATCAAAAATACAGCAAAAAACCTGTAAAATGTAATTTATTCCTGTGATGGCATAGCTGAATTTTCAGCATCATTACTCCAGTCTTCAGTGTCACATGATCCTTCAGAAATCATTCTAATATGCTTATTTGGTGTTTAAGAAACATTTCTTATCATTACCAATGTTGAAAACAGTTGTGTGGCTAAATATTTTTGTAGAAACTGATGTTTTATTTTCTCCAGGAAACTTTGTTGAACAGTAAGTTCAAAAGAACTTACAGCATATATTTGAAACTGAAATTGTTTGTAGTATTATAAATGTCTTCACTGTCACTTTTGATAAATTTATTGCATATCTGCTGAATAGAAGTATAAAAAGTATTAAAAAAAACAAGTCTTACTAACCTCAAACTTTTGAACAGTAGTGTGTATGATAAATTTATTGCATATCTGCTGAATAGAAGTATAAAAAGTATTAAAAAAACAAGTCTTACTAACGTCAAACTTTTGAACAGTAGTGTGTGTATGTACTGTATATTGAACTACTTTGTTAAACAGTATATTACTGATGTCAATACGAAGTTAAATAATATATAAAGTTCAAAAACACCAAATGACCCTAAACTTGTTTATAAAGATAGATCATTCCCTTTCTTTCAAAATAAGAACCTGTTAAAAAAGACTTGCATATGAAAAGCAAATAAATATTACATTAAATTTGGTTTTATTAGAAAAACCAGGCAGAGATCACTCAAGTCATCTGAGATTCACAATATTGCATTTTTATTAATATTAACTACAGTCATCTGACAAAGCTATAACTTATTAAACAATGTGGAGCATAAAAATAGAACACATTAATAGTAACTAAATCCAAAGCTTTGCATAAACTACATTCCAACTAAAAAATGAAGATAAAAAAAAAATTTAAGATTAAAGAATAAGATTTAAAGCTGCATGGCAAAACTCACTCCAGGCCTGACTATACAGTGTCAAGGCCTCACACACAGCATTCCCTTTTCAGATCCCAGAGATGAGGAAGTGGCACAGCCCAGACAAAAGGCAGGAAAGCCCTATTTTGCATACTCAAAGCATACAATGTGCCAGTCTACTGTCCTAAAGAAGAGAAAGCAGCAGACCCATCTGTGCTGCCGCTGCTCATCAGCAGGAGACTGAGGGGGAGGAGGACACTCCATCAGGAGAGAGGAGGGGGTTTAAGGGGATTCCTCACATTATAAGCTCAAACAGGGAGGATTTAACCAAACTGGCAGTCTATGAGCTGCTAAATCAATCTGCTGTCAAGAGGTAAGCTTTGCCAACCATATCTTTTAAGCAGGTTTTTACAACCTGACACCCGTGCTTCACCTCAAATTATTCAACGTGATATCAGGATTACGTAAATGTCAAATGTGAATTAGTGATATGAAAACGACTTATCAATTTCCTTCCTCGCTGGCACATTGACATCTTAATGCACAGACACTTAATATTGCATTACGTTATACATTAGTGAGATCATTTAGACTAAAGCAGTCAGAAATAGTCAGAAGCCCGAAATAATCTCATAATAAAACCATCACGGGCCAAGGCATACATAAACAAGATCCATTAAGATTTCAGAAAGATCTTAGAAATGAACAAGATGATGGGTGAAATCACTACAAAGTCTTTAAGCTTCTCAGTTTCTAAGCCTCTCTATAAAAACAAAGGACTTAGAGAAAAAAAGAAAAGAAACCAAGTTTGAGATAAGAAAGTACATGTCTAATAATGAATGTTTAATGGATGGGTTCTCCTGTTCAATTTGACATACATTATAAATGATATACATTAAAAAAAAAAAAAAAAAAAAATTCATGACTGATCAGACAAGGAGAGTAACGTTAGCTCTTTAATACATGGACATATATTATTAGAATAAAAATATGACATATCTTCTATTTTTTATTGAATTAATTCATGCAAAAAAACGCAAAAAATAACAATAGTGGACCGGTTGTGACAATAGCACTTCTTTGTATTTAACATTAATTTTTACAGTTTATAAAAACGTTGTAGATTTCTCAACTACTGTAAGTTGTATCATATAAATATGGGAATGTTGTATCAAAGTTGTAAACAAATGAGCCTCAAAAACCCTGAGAAACAGACCAAAAAAAAGTGTAACACTCCTCGGTCTCACCTCCAGAAAATGCCTCGGTTCATGTGCGTTGGAAGCTGCAGTGATGCTTGTTGCAACGACAGGCATCACAAAAATGAGATCCGATTTCAAACAGATGGCTTGAGAGTTACAAAACACCAGATCAATCGAACTACTAACATTTAACAAAGTTTGCCTAGTTAATTACGTCAATATTACACTAAAAACTATTTAATTGATAAGACATGTCGTCGCGTTATGGCCGTTACGTTACACACTTTGCGTTATTATATGCTAAGATTGCTAACAGTTAGCACAGGGAATGCCATCCAAAAAGCCAAAGCAAAGCTTCCAAATCTCTTATCAAGATCTTTATAAACCTACACAGGAGTGATGCATTCGTGGGTGTAAACGGCGTGTCTCGTACCTTTGGCATCGCTGTTCTCCTGCGGTGTTTTAGCGGCCGCCGTCCATAAATCACATCCCAGCAGGCAGAGCACAATCACGGCAGACCTGCTGCTGCTGTCCGCGCCTCGCATTATTGCTGCTCACGGTTACAAGGATTTTGCTCAACAATGCGGCTTTTCTATGCGGCGGCAGGAGTATCTAGAGACTCGTAGCAGCTGAGGTTCCCTGCCATAGTTTGGTGTTTTAGCAAATCTGCTCATGTCACTGAACACCGATGGGCGACTAGAAAACCCCTCCGCTCAGCATCTCCGTGTTGCCGCTGTTTTCCCCCAACTCGACTCGAAGCAACGACGACAAAAAGCGTGTCGACTCCACCAGTTTAACCACTTCAATGCCAGTAACAGACGGTGTTGGTCTGTCCTATAGAAAGAAGGATTAGACCGCCATCTCCTGTACAGTATTGTCAATGGACCTTAATCGCACTTCCGGTAAGTGAAGCAGTGTATCGCCACTTCCGGTCCCGTCGCAACGCAGTCAAAGCTAATGGGAGAATCCTCCATATTCTTTCTTTCGTTGGTGTTACTGTAGCGCTACATCTCATGTCACCTGCTGAAATGTTCCTGTTAATATATTTCCCTTCCAAATGTGCATTCTGAACAAATACATTTATTTCCCAACTAACCTGCCGCAGTCAAGTTCGTCTTCTCATTAACAATGTTTTTCTCTTACTGATCATATTTCATACCTGTTTACATTTTTTAATGAATTTGACTGATGAACACCCATACAAAAATCTACCATGGTTTTACTATAGTAAATATGTAGCAACCATGTTTCGAGCGAGAGCAAGCGCAAATCCTGGCATCGGCAGGTCGCAGCGCCACTTCCGGTGGCATCCCCAGCTGCCACTGGCAGCTGCCAGAGTTCGAGGCAGGTTTTATTTTTGTAATATCGATTACTTTCTCATTCAGTTTTCTTTTTTCTAAAGAGACTCTCTTGCCTTGCCTCCATTTCCTTGACTGATGGCAGAAGCCGTACAACACAAACATCAGAAATTCATTCATCTTAAATTATGATCCTTGCGGAAGTTTGAGGTTGTGTAAATTTTGGCAGGTTATTTGACATTCATTATTCAAATTAATAAAGTGATGAATGGAAATTGGGCAGTTCAATTAAGTATAGAAATTTTGTAATAGCTACAAAAATGAAAATGGGCAAATGTGGGATCACCGAGAAATGAAATGTTTTTTATTACGGTTTTACTACAAATAACATGCTTAAACTATGGTGAGTGTAGCAAAATGTTTTAACTGTAATAACCTTTTTTATTTGTTTCAAAACCATGTGTAATTTTCGTACGTTTTTTTACAAATACTTTTTACTGTTATTTTATAATGAAAAACAGTAATAATATATTTATAATATTTATAGAAAGCATTTAATGTTAGAAAATATAATTTATGCATGTACTGTAAATGCTCTTCAAGTTTGAGGCATTAATTGTAACAGTATATACACCAAATATTTTGACCATATTTTCTTCTTTCACAGCAGGAAAACATTTTTTGAGAGACACCAGGACTGCAGCTGACTGGTGCGGTAACAGAAATTGAAATG